CCGCCGAGGTCCGGCATTCATTATTCCTGTCTGTGATAGCGTCTAATCATGTTATTGCTGGCGGCGCTGCACCATCGACTGCATCTGGCCAAGCATCATGTATCTCCTGCTAGCGCCAATGAATACCTGTGTGCGGACCGAGGGGACGGCAGGCCTGCGCAGCGGTTTTCTCTGCACATCATTGGGCTCTGTGTGTATCCATGGAGCGTCTCTGAACACTGCTGAGCTAAACTACAAGAATTGGAAACGGAGTATCGACAGCTGGTCGGCCATTGTTGGGGATGAGCAGAGCCAGGCGGATGGGGTCTAGTGCTCACAGGCCGTCAATAGCGTCCTTTTAATCTGTTGTGCTCTCTATTTATTCGCAAACTGTAGTATCCGTAAACTGTAGCGAGTATAACAACTAGCACTTTTAAATAGTAACAAACGTCTGCAAGCGAGAACTCCTACGGATACAGTGACTGATGTGCGGATAATTTATTGATTTAGTGATGAAGGGCAGAAGTTGGCCAACTCGGCGATACTTTCTTTACTAGTGTGAACGAGGCTAACAAAGCAAGTACCATCTGAAGCCTGTACTGGTGGGGGCCCTCCTGCTCTATCTCATTTCGCCTCCCTAATACCAGCAATAATCCCTGTTAATAATGAAGAAATACCTAAATACCTAGCACGCCTGGCTTGGATCTAGCTTTTTTATGGGGTAGTCACATTTTTTGCCATTGATTCTTTTGCTCTTATTAATCTCACCACTTCATCTCCATCACCCACCAAACCACAAACTAGTTTGTACCGACCAGCCACACACAAGCCTCTTCCGCAAACAACGGGGGCTCCCTTGCTCTTTGCCCCCCTGATGAGTTATCCATTCATTCTTATTGTCTGCGGGCCATGAGTCTAACCGATCCGTATCAACATCTCCGAGCAAACCACTTTTTCGACTTGCCATTTCGACTTGCCATCTCACGCTCGCTGCGCACATGTGTCAACGACATCGCCAGTCTCAAACCGCCAACATCCGGCGAGTCCTCGTATCCTCTGGTACGCCCGTTCCTCGCACCTGCTCGTATCACAGCAAAACGTGAGCCGATTGATAACGACTGGTAGCTCAATGATACTCCAAGTTGCCCTAACGCCCGACTTGTACAAGGACTCGAGGAGCAGGAGCCACCTGTCAGATGGGATGACAAGCCTAGACAGGAGAGGGACCTCGCTATGTAACACCCGAGGAACAGGACCCACGTCAGCTTTCAGCCATTCCGCCTTTCCAAAGTCGTCTTTCTCCTGTCAACTCAGTGTTGTAAATAAGGTAGTGCTGCCAGTCCTGTCAGTGAGTGTCCTTGGTGTGTGCCGTCCATCATGATCACTGAATGCGCCCGTCTGTAGCCATCTAACTGCAGCAAACTACTCCTTTAGGTGCTTGGCTGCATCATGACGCAACACACCCCAACAAAACCCTCATTGCCACCCTTCTGTTTTTGATTTCTATTATTCCGCCCGGTGGTGTCAATGTCAAGTGCCCAGTAAAACGGCGTCTCAACTTTTCGACTTGCAGGCTCGCTTGTTCGCGTTCTCCCGACCGAGTAAAGTCTGCACGCACCGCAATCCCTGCCCCTGTCATGCACCCAAGCCAGGTCAAGAACAAAATTACCCTTCTTGCCTCCAAAAAAAAAAGCCAAAAAGGAGAGCAATTTCTCGATATCCGACTCGACCCGCTCACCGAGCCCACTAACATGGGCCTACCGGTTCTCACCAGATATGTACTCCCATGTCGAATCATGATTCCACTTACCACCCTGTTCGTTGCCTGCATCCGTAGGCGTACGCACTACTGGGTAGATTTACATTGCATTGAGGCGTGGAGAACGCAAAAGCATCCGTACTCTGCAAATACTGTACAGCATAAATACGAAGTTTGAACCATGAGCTCCAGTGCAGCTGAACCGCATGCAAAGGCCAGTAGCTCGGGCAGTCGACGCATCGAAACGGCAGAAACACACGTTGACAAGTAGAAATTTGCTTTCCACGACCTCGCCTCTAGTTGGTCGTGGACCCTGACTGACCACCGGCGCCCACCTCCTTCCTCGACGTTGCATTTTTCGTGGAGAGTTCATCGCAATCCTTTGCCAGGCTCACACGTCTACGGATACTCGCCGTGCCATCGCTCGACTAAATATGTTCTCTAATCCACTTTGGCTGCTGGCTGCTGAACAGGGCTACGACTCCGAGCCCTAGAGGCGACAATTCGCTATCAATCTGTCGACACCCGCAGCAGTTCGACATGTTCTGCCTTGTAGCATGCGCCTGCAGAGTCGATGAAACGAATTATTGCGCCGTCGCGTGTCCACAAACGATCTACCACTACGCGCCTAGCGACATGATTACCTGTCTCAGTTTGAGCCCCTGATGTCTGTCTGTCACGGCAGTCGCTCCTGGTCCGGGGCACTGTATCATCTATCGCGGACAGCATCGTAGCGGATATTTACTCGTGTCTCACAACACTCTCTCCCGCCGATCACGCTGCTTGTTCCACTTTTGCGACACTCCTTCATAACGAGAACTTTATTTTCTTTTGTTCGTCATCACTTGCATATTTCTGTTCCTACCAGGGATGACGGCTGCGCCTGATGTACAGTGGCTGTCAATGGCTGCAATCAGACTAAAATAGCAGCAACAACTTTCTATTTTTGGACACTTTGATGTGAGCCGCACACACCATCAAGGCTGCTAATAACTTCATATAGTATTTTGTGAGTATTAACCATCAAGTCCCAGACCAGCCCGTTTACGTTAGTCGTAAGTAGCAATAACCCCTAAACCCCTTCAGCGCGTCCTCGGTAAAACGACCTGGTTTGTTGCTGTACCATCATTACAAGACTCAGAAGAGCAATCTAGAGATCTCTACCGAATATATCCGAGCCTTAAAACATCCCGAAGCAGAGTGTAAACACAGGTGTATATAATTAGCCATCAGCTGTCAAGTTGGTATGAATGACACGCCTTCATGCTGCCCCATTCCCGCACATCACAATTCTCTCCCCTGGCCATGAGATAGATGGCAATGAGCAACACCGTTTGAGCCGTAGTGCTCACAGTCAGTGTAGTACCATACTTTGTGATTGCGCAAGGTTCTACTGAGTGTTGGCATCTGCATACCTCGCCTAAAGGCCGAACTTACTCTACCTGTGACGTTTCCGAGATTTTCTATCGGATCAGAAGCAAGATCAGACAGGATGCGGATAATAGTCCTGAGTTGACCAAAGCCGAAAGTTGTCAAGACACATCTGCACTGCCAACTAGCTTCTATTTACGAGGCAGCAAATTTCCATCTCGTGACTCGGGTTCAATCATATCGACCCCCATCTAGACTGCGCGGCTTACATCGTATCGGTGGTGCACTGTTGATTCCTGTGTTCCACGACTGCCTCATCAGCTCAAAAACGCATCGTCTCACAGCGCCCGAATTCTTGTGCCCATTGTAATGTTTTTTTTTTTTTGGCGTTTGTGTGCTTCCAAGCGCCGTACTCGAGGAAGCGTGATTTCGCTCAATGGTGCCTTTTGCTCCAGGTGAAGCCCCCGATCCGAGCCACACAAGCCTCTCACCCAACCAACCAACCCCCTTCTTCCGGATCGTTTGTGCTACATACAACCCACTCGCGCTTCGTCACACAAATGTCATCACGTGAAGGCCATTTGCCCGAGTTGTATCATGGTGATGCCTGAACCCCTCTCCTCTCCCCAGACTTTTGGCTAGCTTTAGCAAGAAGGGACCGGTCTTTCTCCAAGCCTTCAACATTAACGGTTCGCCATGGATTGGAGTCTGCCTGATATTGATAAAGTCACCGTTCCAGTCCCCGCAGTCGAGGTAATGACTGAGGAATGTAATAAAGGCCTAGACATGTCAAAGGTCACACACTATCTTGTTCAGTCCGTGGAAGAAAATCCTCACGATAAAACCCATGTTCCTACGACATACTAACGCCCCGGGGGGGGTTAGGCTGTCTGATAGGCGGTTCGATTGCCTCATGCAAGCCATGGCAGGTGTCCCTTTTGACTGCGACAGTCCTTGGGGCTTTTGGTTCTTCATCGGCAAGGTAGTGTCCAAAGCACTTTCAACGACGAAAGACGCCTCAAGTGGTTCAATTCTGTGCGAATCTCTACGCGAGCATTTATCGTGTTCGCCGATACAGCCGTTTCCTTTGATGAAAAGGAGGATGCTCAGAATGGTGCACTCTACATTTTGGAACTCGACTTCCTAAAGCCTCGGCCCAGGGAGAGTATCAAGTTGTTCTGGAAACCTGCTAGACCCCCCATTTATAGAAGCGTGAGACTGTGTAAGTTGTTTATCTAATGTCTTTTTTTTTTTTTTTTTTTTTTTTTTTTGCGAGTGCTTTTGAATTATGATTCTCATCCTATTTTTGACATAAGGGTTGGAAACGAAAGATAAACCGCCCCTCGCACAGAGTGCTACGTATCCATTCGAGTTTCGGTAGAGGGGAACTACGTCTCTTGTCTTGAGCCAGCTACTTCTTGAGACCGAACCGTGGCATAGCTCCTACGATCATGGCAGTTAAAGGATAGTCTAGAAAAACACCGGATGTTATTAACTTGAGCGTATAGACCCTACAAAAACCCCCGGTTCAAGCTCACTGAAGATTTTGTGTAGTCCATGCTGGGGTGATGGTTTGTTGCCATGATTTCACGTCCACCTGAGTTAGTCGCCGTGCTAGCATTGTCCTGACAAGATCTATGACATTGCTTCATCACCTATTAAACATGCTGATTCGTAGCGTATAATAGGTAAATTGTATTTGAGAGACTATTCTTCTAGCTGCGTGCTCTGTCATCATCGTTACCTCGCGGTGTGTCATTATCATGCTCTTGTCCCTCGCCCACCCACTCTATCCGGCTCTTTCCCATTTATCCTTTTCTCACAGGTTCCACGTATGAAATTCGTTGACAAATTGTTCGCCATGTAAATGCCTGAGTAGTCACATGCAGACTCAGTTCGTCTTGGCCCATTCCCGGAACCACTCGAGCGATTCCGGGTTGGCGACGGACGCGTTTGTCGTGACGTTGATGCCCGACAGAATCTGCTTGACCGCAACCTCGATCCTGCAACACAGCCATTAGTAACTCCTTTCTTGACCGCTTATCCCACGCGACTGTATTTACTTACTTTTTCCCGTTGCCCGTCTTGGGGATGCCGCCGCCAGCCTCCGCCACCACGCCCGGAACGTGACGCGGGCTGAGCTCAGCGCGTATCTTGGCCTTGATGCGCGTCTGTAGCTCCTCGGTGAGCGCGCTGCCGTCGACGGGCACGACAAAGAGGCAGACGGTCTCGTCTGCGTCCGTCTCCCGGCGGCGCCCGACGCACACGGCGTCGTCAATGTCGGCGGCGAAGAAGCGCGTCAGGATGTTGTAGATTTCGGCGGAGCCGAAGCGCACGCCGGCGGGCTTCAAGACACCGTCGGAGCGGCCGAGCATGACCAGCGCGCCGGTGGCCGGGTCTGGAATCTTGACAAAGTCGCCGTGGTGCCAGACGGGGCCGTCGACGCCGCAGACGTCTCGGAAGCGCGCAAAATAGGCGGCCTCGTACTTGCTCTGGCCTGAGGGTCCGAAAAAGGTGAGCGGCTGGCAGGGAAAGGGGCGGACGCAGACGAGGTCACCTGGCTCGCCGGGAGCCAGGTCGGCGCCGGTGGCGGGGTCGACGGCGCGAATGGCCATGCCGAGGCCGGCGCACTGAATCTCGCCGACGCGGACGGGAAGCAGCGGGCAGGGCGCGCCGAAGAGGGAGATGATGTCGGTGCCGCCGGTGATCGAGGCCAGGTTGACCGTGGCGGGAAAGGCGCGGTAGACGAAGCGAAAGGTCGAGGGCGGGAGCGGCGAGGCGGTCGAGTAGATGGCCTGCAGCCGGGAGAGGTCGAGGGTGGGGTCGTCGACGGGGCGCACGTCGGCGGCCTCGAGCGCGGTGAGGTAGGCGGCAGATGTGCCAAAGTGGGTGACGGCGAGGTCGGAGAGGACGCGCGGCAGGGAGAGGTGCGCCGACGGGCGGAAGGGCGAGCCCGAGTAGAGGACGAGAGTGGCGCCGGCGGCGAGGGCGCCGACGCTCCAGTGCCACATCATCCACGACGTGGTGGTGTAGTAGAGCATGCGCGAGGCCGGCGTCAGTGAGCAGTGCAGCACGTGCTCCTTTTTATGCTGCAGCAGCGTGCCCAGCGCCGTGTGGACAATGGCCTTGGGAAGGCCCGTCGTGCCGCTCGAGTACAGCACGTAGAGCGGGTGCGAGGCCGGGAGCTGCGCAAACTCGAGGGGCGCGTCGGCGGGCGCGGGAGCGGCCTCGAGGAAGGCCCTGTAATCGACGGCGCGGACGCTGTGCGCGACCAGCTCCTCCAGACCTAGGTCGCCGGAAATATTGCCAATGACGATGACGGTTTCCAGGCCCGTGGGCCGCAGCGCGGCGACAATGTCGTTTGTCTTGGCGGTGCTTGGCCACTGCTTGCCGTTGTAGACGGTGCCGTTGTCGGCGAACAGCACCTTGGGCGCAATCTGGCACAGGCGGTCCAGCACGGCCGACACGCCATTGTCCGGGCTGATGCCAGTCCAGACGGCGCCGATCGACGCGGCCGCCAGCATGGCGACGAGCGCCTCAACGTGGTTGGAAACGTAGCCGGCGACGACGTCGTGCGGGCCCAGGCCGGCGGCGCGCAGGCTCGCGGCGCAGCGCCGGACCGCCTCGCGCAGCTCGGCCCACGACGTTGTGCGGAGCGTGCCTGGGAGCTCAGTGACAGAGAGGACAGCGGGTGCGGCGGCCGATAGCGGCACGGGCGGGAACAGCAGGTTCTCGGCAAAGTTGAGACGGGCGGTACCGAAGAAGTCGGGGCGGGGAAACATGGGGGCGTGGTCGGGGATGACCTGCAATGTGTGTTAGTCGATTCAGTAACGAGAACAATGAAGATGAAGATGGGAGAAACACATGCCTCGTGGGCTTCTTTCGAGGCGACAATGCCAACAAAGTCCCAGCACGCGCGCCAAAAATCGGCGATGCGATCAATGGACCACCGGTAGAGGTCGGGATACCCCGCGAGGGCGAGGTTGTGCTCGGCGTTGACGCGCTGGATAAACTGCCACATGGGCGTCGAGGTCGGGTCGGGATGGGTCCATAGCACTTCTGCGAGCGCAGACGCGTCCTGCGGAACGGATTGGCCCATGATGGTTTTGGGGGCAAGAGAGAGCGTGTTGCCGTGTGTGTTTGGAAAAGGCAAAGAGCAAGCTCCGGTTCCGTGGGGTCGGAGTGATGATGACTGCGTGGTGGGGTTTACTCGCGGGGGGGCAAGTGTCACAACAGAACGGGCGATGGTCTATTTCGGAGAATTTATGCGAACGATATGACAAGAATAAATGGATGAAGAGACGATATAATAAAGCATGACGTGGACCGAGAAATGAAAATAAAGTCTACAGCCCGATCTGGGGGGGAGAAGCCAAGATGGCATGGGGCCGTAATAAACGGCGGTTTATTCAGAGCGAGGCGGAGAAAAAAAGAAGAAAAGGCCAGGGTCCAGCTCCGCTGTTATCCCGTTGCAACCCGAAGTCAGCGCGTGGGAAAGTCTTCGGCTTTGGAGTTGGAGCGCCCGCTAGGAGGTTATTCAGCCGCCGTCGGCAAGCATTGGGTGATTTACATATATACATACCTGCCCAAGTTTCTGATCTCATTGTATGCCCAAAGGTCGAATGTCTCTAGAGAAGAGAAAAAAAAAAAAAAAAATCCGAAAACGCGACATCGTACATGCGACGACTTGTAGGCCGAATATCTCGTACCTACGCCGGGCCGCCTTTTGCGCTACCCGCTCTTAGCACCACCACACTTTTAATCTATTTATTCTCAGCGATGGACGCTGCAGCCTGGATGCAGCTAGGCAAGCAAGCCAATGCAAGGGGCAGACGCTCTATTCAATTTAACAAAGGAGATGCAGACGGTTGCGTGCCGATTGGGTGACTGGTTCACCAAACTAATAGCATCACGATATTGGAAACAGTGAATCATGTTGTCGACAAGTCGGCTTTCTAGACAAACGCCCGAAAATAAAACAACAAAAGTGTCCATCGTAATTGAAGACCGCCCTAGATATCGGACAGCTAAAGATTAGCCTCTAGACAGCCTCATTGGACCACGAAAAGGCTGGGATACCTCTGCCGGGTAGTAGTGTACATTGTCGCATGGACCTAGTGCCATCCTTATTCTTCCTAAATTTCTGGCTCTGCTGATTCAAACGAGTTGTAGCTCCAAGTCAAAGACATCTGGATAATGGCCATGGTCAAGGCAAAAGATACTGTGATTGCCAAGCTTGTCGGCTCTAGGCAGCCATCACGAGCCGCCTAAGCCTCAGCAAAGCGGTTATATTCAAACTCTACAACTTGATCATTATCGTACATCCTGTCGTGGTTTTGCCCTCGTCACGTCATATACAGACTGCTTCAGAGCTGCTTCGTCATTGTAAACCGGTTCACTATAGCATAAGAAAGTGAGAAGATTCAAAAGATTGTATATCTAAGTGCATGAAAATTTGCAAAATAAGAGAAAAGTATATTCCTTCAATGATCTAGCTTACCCCGCGCTTCGGCGCAGTTTGCCCTTCTTTTGTCTTCGTACCTCATCAACTCCCCACTTCTTCATCATCATCATCATCAACACCGTCCGCGCTCTCTATGCAAATCCCAATCGTCAAAAGATTCGTTGTACATCATGTAGTGTGAGTAAATATGTAAAGCGCATCGACGTATATTCCGTTTACTGGGCTTGGCATTGTGGTTGACCGTCTTCAGCGTCCTCGTCTTGCCATTCGCCGCCGCCGCGGGGGCCTTCCGAGTTCTCGCCCATCTGAGATATCATTAGCATCGCTTCGTATTTACTGGGTCAACACCAACTTACGGTTTCAATGTCAGCGTCAGAGTCATACTCGACTTCATCCACTTCTTCCGTCTTGGGAGCTGGGAGGGGCGGCGGCAGCATCTTGAGTAGGGCATCGTAGGCGGCGGGGTCCTTGAGGAAGCCGTTCTCGGGGAACTCGACGGTAACCAGCAGGTACAGGTCACCCTTGGCATCGCCGCGCTTGTAGGGCATGCCTTCACCGGGGACACGAAGGCAGTCACCGGGACGCAGGAGCTGTCCCTGCTTGCGCTCGATGGAGATGCCGCGGCCGTCGAGGTGCTCGAGCACGACGCGGTTGAAGCCACCAAGGGCCTCGCTGAGGGAAATCTTGAGCTCGGCGGACAAGTCGTTACCGAGACGCGAAAAGACTTCGTGGGGCTCCTCGGCGAGGGTAAAGATGATGTCACCCGGTATTTGGTCGGGGAACTGGTCAGCCTCGCCTTCGAGGACGATGCGCTCGCCCTGGACGGAGCCGCGGGGGATATAGAGCTCGAGGACCTTTTTCTCCTCGACGGTGCGCTTTCCCTTGCACTTCTTGCAACGGTCCTTTTCCTTGAAAACGTTGCCAGCGCCGTGACAGGCATCGCAGAGCATCGTCTCGCGGCGCATCATGCCGGGGCCGATCTGGCGGATGGCCTCAACGATGCCCTGACCGCGGCAGCGCGAGCACGGCTCGGCCTTGGCCTTCTCCTTGCCGCCAGTGCCCTTGCAGCCGCCGCAGAGTACCTGCTTGTTGGCGGCAAACTTGACCGTCTTGCCGCGGTAAAGCTCCTCGAGCGTCACCTTGTACTCCTGCTGCTCGTCGGGGCCCTTGCGAGGGCGGCGGGGGCCGCCGGGGCCGCCGGCACCAGCCATGTTGAAACCAAACATTTGCGAGAGGATGTCGTTGAGGTCTGCTTCGGGGCCACCGGGACCGCCGCGCGAGGGGTCAAAGGCAGCCATGCCGTGTGTGTCGTAGAGGTGGCGCTTCTGTTCATCGGCGAGAATCTCGTAGGCGCGGGTCACCTCCTTGAATTTGACCTCGGAGGCCTCGCGCTGGTCCTCAGGGACCTTGTCGGGATGGTACTTGAGGGCGGCCTTGCGGTAGGCCTTTTTGATCTCGTCGCTAGACGCAGTCTTTTCGATGGAGAGCACCTCTGGATGGCGGGAGACGAGCCGCTTGGTTAGCAAAGGCGCCCACGATATGTCAGGCTGCGTTTCGTGCGTTGGGCAGACTTACCATAGAGGTCAATCTCTACCTGGCCTTCGGCGCCAGGACCTGCGGTTCTGTCGGCCATGTCTATATGCGTATTTGGGAGGATGTACTTGTATGATGACGAAAAAAAGTAGCAAAGCGAGGCGGGCTTTTTAGAGGGGACTGTCTGTTGAAAATCTGTGGTGGGGTTATCGCTGTATCGCTATCTGTGAGAGGCTAGTGCCGCCCGGCAAGCCGCCTTCTCCGTCAGCGAGCGCCCTGTTTGGCTGGTTGGCTGGCAATGGTGGGGAGCCGCAAGGCAGCCGCTGCCTGCATCAGCCACAGCATGTGCAAAATCTACCTTGTGTCGAGTACCTGACGGCCCAATTCTGAACAGTGTAGCTTGTAAAGCGGTACCATCATGAGATGATAGTATGCGTGGCAAGTTGGAGAATTTATATTCTATTCATTTCGTCGAGTTTCCTTGACGTCAGACGGCTCCGCCACGTCCCCGTCTTGTGGCGGCCTGCTTGCAAATACAAAGTCGTCGTGACGCCTTCCCCCTGCGCCACACGGACAAGATTGTGCGAATGATGGGGGCAGCAAATGCTACAATACAAGCCCACACGGGCTCCCGTAGCAGTCTAGGTCGGGCGCAGAGGGAGTTTGCTGAATTACGTCCTGTTTGTCATGGACGGTTTCACTCTTGATATCAAAATCGGCGGATAATCAGGCACCAAAAATTAACCTTTATTTCAAACTACCTACCTTGCAGCATCTCGTCCGCATCAATAGCTGCCACCCGCTTAACAATAACCCCGCCACAAGGCCAGCCCCACCAATATGTCACTTACCTCATAACCTCGAAAAACATACATCCTTGATCCTCTGCTTTTACTGAACACGCCTTCACCACATCACCCTTCTGACAATGTCTCGCAAAGCCGTCGGAATCGGCGCCCTCGACCGCTCGCGCCTCACCTCTGCGCAATACGCCTCCCATGGGTCCTCCCTTCGCGCTACCAACGCGCAGGCCCTCGAAACCCAACTCTCCGTCTTCCGAACCCTCCTCCAGCAATTCGCGCAGACGCACGCCAAAGACATTCGCTCCGACCCGTCCTTTCGCGCGCAATTCGCGCGCATGTGCTCCGCCATTGGTGTCGACCCTCTCGCCTCTTCCTCTTCGTCCTCGGCCCCCTCCTCGTCGGTCTGGGCGCAGCTCCTCGGCAAGACGGTCAACGACTTCTACTTTGACGTGGCCGTGCGCGTCGTACAAGTATGCGGAGCGACGCGTGCGGAGAACGGGGGCCTCATCTCGCTGGCTCAGGTCTGCGAGCGCGTGTCCCGGGAAAAGGTCGCCGGCGGCGGGGCGAGCGTCTCCGAGGACGACGTGCGCCGCGCCGTGGCCACGCTGGCGCCGCTTGGGGGCGGCTACGCCGTAGTGGCGGTGGGTAATGCCGAGTACGTCCGGAGCGTGCCGCGCGAGCTGAGCGGCGACCAGGCGGGCTGCGTCGAGGCCGCGCAGGTGCTGGGCTACGTGAGCGTGGGCATGCTACGGGATAACCTGGGATGGGAGGCGGCGCGCTGTAAGACGGTGATTGAGGACTTGGTTGCGCAGGGCATGCTCTGGGTCGACAAGCAGACGGGAGGCGAGTGGCAGTACTGGAGCCCGGCTTTTATGGCGGGGATAGACGGGGCAAGCTGACGACGAACCAATACCTAACGAGCCAATGACATGTACACAAATAGAGGCGCTTAGAGTGTTTAGTCGGGACCTTGGGACTATTCACGCATGGACCATAGATGAGATACCCTTGATTTTACCAAAAGAATACCCTTATCCAGATACCCTTGTCCAAAACATATTCATAAATAGTTGGCATTCAATAAATACTTCAAATAAATCAGCACATCCGGCCAAAGAAATTTATACAAGGCCCATACGCGCAAACAAACACCATTGATTTCGTCGTCCGTGCCCCTTGTCCCATATACATCCTGCAACTAGTCAGAGCGACTATTGTCCCTGCAGCCGCCTTGTCCATCTAGAGAGTTGCTCTGTACCCCAGAGGGAAACTCATCGTCTCAGTGTGCCGTCCATGATCTAGTCTCCTGCAGGCCGGCAGACAGATGGCGACAGGCCACCCGCACATGCTGCTATCCAGTCGTGTCAGGCACTATAATTAGTAGGGAGGGTTGGGGCCACCCATGGGGCCACCCATGGGACCGCCCATGCCGGGAGGAGGGTAATCGTCGGGTCGCCCCATGCTGCTGCGGCCGTCACCAAAGTGCTTCTTGCGGAGAGCGGCGAGACGCTTCTTCTTGGTGGTGGTGTTGACATATGTGCCAATGACGAAGCCGATGACATTGAAAAAGGGCACCCAGAGGTGGTTGGGCAGGAACTGCTGGGCAAAGGCCAGGGACAGGGGCGAGACAACCCATGAGACCTTCATGACCTTCCAGAAGCCGACCTTGACGGTGGCGCGAACCTGGTGGAAGGTGCGGGCACCGGCGATAAGGGCCATGGCAACGAGGTAGATGCTGTTTTGAATGGGGGCAATCTGGTAAAGGTATTAGCGGGTTTCTGTGGTGGCGTGAGAACAGACCGAGGAAGGGCGCGCAACGTACCACCAGGTTGCTGACGATGATCTGCAGAATCTTGGCCTTGAGGCTGGTGCGGTTGTGGAAGACCTTTTGCAGCATCCAGATGAGAACGTGGCCAATGGGGGCGCTGACGAGGGCACCGTAGGCTGCCATCTTGGGAACTCGCGAGGTAAAGTAGTGGCCGTTCTTGTTGCGATCCTTGGCGAGGAAAGATGCGAGAAGCTCCTGGAGGCCGGCGAGGCCACCAGCGGTGAACATCTTGGTGCGGAGAGGGTTGGACTCGAGCTGCTTGATATAGGCCTAGAGTTGGGACGAGACATGATTAGACGATGGGTAAAAATGAGGGCGTCGCGAGGGCAGCGGTTTAGCTTGGCTGCAAGACAGCTCAAGGGGAGGGGGGAGAAGAGATACGCACAGCAAGATAGCCCTTTGTTCCAGCATTGCCGACACCTCCCGTCAGAGCAGTGCCGAGCTTCTCAGCGAGCGGATGCTTGCCGCTGGTGCCCGGAATATGAGTGCTCTGAGCCGCATTGCCGGCGACGCTTTGCGCGGTCTGTCGGAATGTATCCCTCTCAAACTTGACCGACATTATGGGCGGAAAGGTAGGTAGGTGGTTTGTGGAATTTCGGCTAGGAATGCGGAAGCGCAGTCTTTCAGGGACTAATCGTCGTGCAAGGTCGGCTGGGCGCGGAGAGGAAGGAGGGGCCTAAAAATAGGCGTCTGCTAGAATTGTTAGATGGACAAGTGCATAGAGGCTTTTTTTTTTTGCTCCTTCTCCGTGCGCTCTCTTTTTCGGCCGTCGTCTTGGTCGCTGGGTCTTGGGCTTCAATGCGAGGCGCGGCGGTGGTGCCTTGTGTGGTAGCGACCCAACTGGGTTTGTTTACAAGACGACACGCCTTGGGGGGCGGAGCGACACCGGGCGCCCCAGGCCAACAAGAACAAGTAGAGCGGGAGCAGGCGACAAGGAAGGAGCAGAGCGTGGAGGACGTACATAGCAGGAGTTGCGGCGATGTAGTTAGGGCGTCCAGCAGCGATTGCACAAACTGGGCGCGATGGTTTGAAATTAATTCGGATTGAAGGAGAGGAGGAGAGCTTGGCCGGGGGAGGGGGGAGGATAGGTAGGTTTTGGCACCGATGAGTCGGTTCACGCCACCAGCAATACTAAGCGTGGTTAGCCTGGGTAAATAGGCCAGCACCCAGTAATTAAAAATGGAAGCCAGTGAAAACGGTAGTGTTGCGCAGGACAGCATGGGCTGCTTCTGCGGCACAATTGCACTACCGAGACTTGGCGGAGACGCCCTCATGCCCTGAAGCTGCTAGAGAGCGCGCGAGGCTACCTGCCACGGAGCGTTACGACTGCTGGAGCTGGAGCTCGGCGAGTCGCGATGGATGCTGGACGGGGGCGGCCTTTTTGGGTGAGCCTTGGTTTCCGTCAATGCAGTGGAGTCTCAAGACATTTCCTATTGGCTGCTACCCCTGTGCCCCATTACTTTCGAGGCTCTGTTGCGCCCCTGGCAACCGCTAGCCACAATGTCTTTGTTGACATTTGCTCGCCGCGTTACCAGTATTAAATGGGCGCGACTTTAATGAATACCTAGGTGCGCAAAGTCGCCCGCCAAGGAAACACACGCAAAGAATGACCTCGTTCCACTGCTCGCTTCCAGATCTGCCGTCGATGGCAGCCTTGCTTGTATGGGTCTTTGCCGAGGTATTTCTGCATTTCTGGTGGGCACTTGTCGGCCGACACTGTCCAAGGTACATGCAAACACTTGACTTTTTTGACCGTTTGCTAGCGCCACCTGTTCATTACCTCAGATGAGGCTATTCCGAGCTCTCATGATGAAAATAGTAGATCTGACTTACATCGCCTGTTCTGCTCGTATCCATACCCGCAGCTACTTTACATTCCTTGGTCGTACAGCGTTTACTAGACTTTACCTCTTGTCCGGTCAGGCCCTCTGCCTCTGATGACCAGCCCTTGCAATAATTGACAGCTGCCGCCCGCCAGCCTGCAAACGCACACCTTGTTTACTTCGCAAGCCGTTCCTTTTCTGGACACGCTCTATAATCCCCTCACGGCTTCCCCGACGCGTCAACTCCATTCTACCCGCCACGGTTGCTCATAGTGTGCCTCCATATCACGCCTTTCGCCTAGCCTCGTGTAATTGCTGCTGCTGCTGCTGCTTCTATCACCGCTGCTACCCTCGCCTACCACATCACTTTACTCTTGCATTTTTCTGCTCAATCGCTATTTTTAATTCATCATTTTATTCCCATTTCCTCCCTCGCTTCATGGTAGCTGCCATAGCCTTGTTCCTTCTGTAGCCGAATCTCCCTACAAGAATACTCGCCCCCGACGCCATGCCTTTGCGAAAAGCCCTCAAGTTTCCTCGCCCAAGCCTCGAATCCCAGTGCACGCACACCACCATGACGCGGGTATATGGAGCAGCAAATATCTGCTGCGCTTGCCACCGCCCGGGTTCTTTCGGCTGGGTATATCAGTGCACTCAGGACCAAGAGGGCATCATTGACGACGCCTTCGCCCAGGGCGATCTTGTAAGTTCTCTCACCATCTCAGTGCTATCGTTGATGCTAAGTTGGTTCGCTCTAGAGCTGCTGCGATCAAATCGGTCTTGGCATGGTTGACGTAATAAATGCGCAACGAAGCAGTATTCCCGACTGCCAAGACAAATTCGCCTTCCTGGACCAGATCAGCTATGAACAGATGGCCAGCTACAGACCCGATCAACTCGCCACGTTGTTGCGGCAAAAAGAAAAGGCATTGCCCGCCATCGAAGCCCAGAAATGTACTATCTGCTAATACATGACTTCAGGTCCAAGCCATGATTCAACGAGACCGCATGACCCAAAACGGCACCTCGCTCTTTGCCCACGACGGCCTCCTCGACCTCACTGAGCCTTTGCCCAATCCATACGAGTACCGGAAGCTGTAGGGCAGCACCGCTCGCAAGGAATGTCTCTACCGCATCTGCGCCCGTTGCCGACCGAGCTGCGTCGACCGCGCCTACATCAGCATGAACGCCGTCGCCGATGGGCAATTTCCACCCACCGCTGCCACGGGCTTTAGCTTCCACTCCATTGCCGGTCGTCCGGTCACAGATGCTCGTCTCGTCAAAACCATTGGCCAACGGCCCGTCCCTTCCGTCAGTCTCCCAAACCTGACCCTGCCCTGGTGACTATTGCCACTAACACATACGTCCAGGACACACCCGACAGCTCGCCACGCCTCTCGTGGCTCAAATCGAGTCTCTGCCTCATGGACCTTCTGGAGCGACAGATTGTTTGCGGTGGTCATCTTTCATCAGCCCGAGACAGTCTATCTGACGAAGCGCCTTGTTCCGTCAGTGAGCCGCCTCCATGCCCGGGAACGCTGACGCGCTCGCCTCCTTGTAACAACTTGGAGGCCATTTCGCAGCTGCTGCCCGAGGACCCTCCGGTGTGCGTGGCGCCAGAGCCAGCCTTTCAGAGTGAAAGCTCGCCATTATTTGACATGCAAGTTGATGTCCTTGTGCTACACTCGCGCATACAATTTCTAACCTCGAACGCAGATCACCGATCCTCGGCGTACACACACGCGGTAATACAGACTCAAGCTACACCAATTTGCGTCTCGGTGCGGGCAATGGCTTTGAGCGTGGCATTTCCGACATGATTACGGCAGCGTAAAGCCCTTCTCAGAAAAACAAAAGCCAATTGACCTAGGTGTCTTGTCCGAGTTTTGTATACATAGCACTTTATACCAGTGAAAATACAGCAAATGACGTCGCATATATTGATATGAAATGAAGCTCGTAATTCACTGTAGCTATACTAAAAGACACTCACAAGGCTTGCTGCTTGTAAACTGATTGTAAAAAACACACAAGACATTTGACCTCGAGGCTTGTTGCTTGATAACTCATTGTAAAAGACAAGACACTTGACCTCAGGGCTTGGTGCTCTCAAACACCTTCTTCATCATCTGGTCGCCCACTATCTTGGCCTCTGCGAACCGCGGCTCAAAAAACTCCTGCGTGCTCTCGAAGCGCTTCCTCCACGTCTCGAAATGGCCCAAGCTGACGCATTCGGCCCACGCGCGCGCCGCAAACGTAAACTCCAAGTCGTCGCTCCGGTACGTCTGGTCCTCGACTGCCGTGACGAGCGCCTCGTCGAGCAGCGCCGGCGTCCGGAAGAGATACTCGGTGACGCCCAGACGCAGGCGAAACAGCGGTGTGCTGCACAGCATGTGGTCGTAGGGCACGATGCCCAGCTCCGCCCAGCAGTCCACCATGGCCAGCAGCGACAAGTGGTTGTTGGCGCGGCGCGCCGTCGGGTCGTCGTCCGATGGCGGCTGGCCAAGCGCGAAGCTCGACAGGACCGACGGCTCAATGAGGAGCGTGCCACTGCCGCCGCTGCCGCCGCCGCCGCCGCCGCCGCCCCAGGCCTTTGTGCCAAAGACCTTGTCGCGCGCGGCGTACAGGCGCGCGCGCAGCCCGGCCAGGTCCCCGACGAGCATGAGCTTGTAGAGGTCCGTCACGCTGCGCGCGTACTGCGCAACCTGCTCGCGGGCTTCGGGGTTGAGGATGGCGAGCCCCGCGTACACGTGCCATTTCTGGCTGTAGATGCGCAGCATCAGGTTGACTTTGACATTTTCGACGCCGCCGACGTAGCGGCTCATGGTCCAGGGGAACTGACGGTTCGCGTGCCAGGCCTTGCCCATGGAGAGAAAGGCGGCGTGGGTGACGGCCTGCGTGTCGGCGGTGATGCGGTCGTGCTCGCGCGCCGAGAGGTACACAAAGGTGGACTGCAGGCAGCGCAGCACGGCCTCGACCTTGCGCAGGGAGGCGTCGGGCGCGCGGTGCTGCACGAGGACGAGGGGCTGGTTCTTGGGATCCACGCCGGGCCCGTGCAGCGAGTGGCACGAGATGATGTCGACGTCGGCGGGGAGGTGACGCTCAAAAGCGGCAATCTCGGGCGACTTGCATGACGTCTGACCGCCGACGATGGCGCCCATTTTGGTGGCTAACGGGTAGGGGCGTCGATTGTTAATAGAGGAGGGAGAACTGGCTGGGATGGAGAGGCAAGACGTACAAGGTCCGTAGCTGGCAATGACACTGTCGATGACGGCGGCTTCGACGCTGTAGATGATGTAGTCGCTCGCGCGGGAGACGAGATGGCCGTTGCGGCAAATCTCAATCTTCTCCTATACAAGAGAAAAGAACCTTTCAGCAACCATGACACGCAAAACACACCAGGGGCGCAGAAAAGGAACAGGTCGGTACACGAGAGATGGAGATTCGTACATTGGCAGAATATTTTTCTTTCAGGCTATCATAACTATCTTCTCTGTCGCAGGCCATGATTCTATAATTCACGAGCATGGGCTGTCAGCCAGATATTACATGCTGCGGGCATGCGACGACCGATTGGGAATTCAAGGGCATCATTTTCGGTTTACGCGAAATACTATTGCATTGTTAGCGAATTGCTTCCTTGCAAAGAACGTGTATAGAGTGAGAGGATGGGCGGCTGCCGGCGAAGGCAGCCAAAGCCGGGTGTGGTCTTTTTCATCAGACAGTAGTTATAAGTAAGGTAGCTAGCGTTTACATCAGTGACTGCCCAGGTCCTTCCCTCTCACCGGAACGGTGCTAGGGTTCTCTCCGGGCAATGCTCGAGCCAAATGCGCTCTAGTCATCATTGAAAATGGTACACCGGCTGTGGGTGTGGTGAAGAGAGGGTAGAGGATGGAATAGGAAAGAGCTTACCATATTGGACGTGTTTCAAAGAGCAGCACATGTCACGATTCAAGACTCACCTCCAGCCGGCTTCTGACAGTCTCTCGGCGTACATTCGCCCCATGTCGCCCATGCCAATCAGGCCGACGACAAAGTTTTCCATCCCCGCAGGGATTTCCTCAGATGCGGCCATGCTCGTCTGTAATTCTGATAAAGGAATCTGATGGGAAGAAGCAAATACAAGAGTGAACAGCAAGTCAATGGCTCACATTCCCACTGCAGCCACAAAGAATGAAGCACGTCAGCTTTGTGCAGACAAATGGTGCTTTTTTTTTGCTGCGAGTGAATGAAGTGGAAGAAGCTGGAAGTCGAGAAAAAAATCGAGCGAGAGGAAAGAAAAGTGCTTGTGTGGGTCGAGTGATTACCTCAGCATTCTGGCCCGGGACCGTTGAGACACAATGGGGCCTCGACGACTCATAAAAAGGAAGGCCTGCAGAAGGCTCCAGCAAACGACCTTGACTCGGGCACGAAAATGAATGCGCTCTTTGCTCTGGGCTCCAACGGCTCCGGGCAGCTCGGTATCGGCCACCGAGAGGATGTGTCGGTTCCGAAGCCTGCGCTTTTCCATCCCGCGCAGCCAGACTCGCCCATTGTCCGGGTGGCGGCGGGCGGCAACCACACGCTGTTGCTCAACGCTGCCGGGCAAGTCTTTTGGAGCGGCGACTCCGCGACGGGCGCGTGCGGCCTCGGGCCGCCCGCCAGCGTCCCCGTGTTCCAGGAGATACGCCTGGTCCAGGACGGCGGACGCAGGGTGGGCGATGTCTGCCTCGTCGCGTGCACGTGGGAGGCATCCTTTATCGTAGCGCAGGATGCGGCGGGCCAAAAGACCGAGCTGTACAGCTTCGGTGTCGGCGTCAAGGGGGAGCTAGGTCAGGGTGAGCTCATTGTGCGGACGCCCTCGGCGACCGGCTTCAAAGATTTCCCGCCGTCTGGTACGGAAATAGTCGACCTGTCCGCTTGTATGGGTCACGTTGTCGTGGTCCTGAGCAACGGCGACGCCTACGGCTGGGGTAATTGTCGCAAAGGACAGGCTGGCGCACCGGAGCAAGTCATCTATTCACCGAGAAAGATAGAGGGTCTCGAATTCAAAGTCACCCGAGCTGTGTGTGCAAAGGAATCGACTGCATTCTTTGGCGAGCCCGCCAGCGGTCACCTCGCAGTGCTGGGCTCCGACAAATGGAAGCTATCTTCGGGTAAGCCTGCCCAGGTGCCGCATTGGGCCGATGTTGGAGCTAGCTGGGGAAATATATACATTTTGGGCACCGACGGCACCCTGCTTGGCTGGGGTCGTGATGATCACGGCCAGCTGCCGCCACCAAATTTACCTGAGCTTACCAAAATCGCCATTGGCAGTGAGCACGTTATTGCATACGCCAAGCGCGGCGATGTCCTCTCATGGGGATGGGGCGAGCACGGCAATTGCGGGCCCAAGGTTGAAAACAATGACGTAAAGGGTCGCTGGAATGTCATTGCTTCATCCAAGTATATCCCATCAGACTCGACAATTGCAAGTATCGGTGCTGGCTGTGCGACCAGCTGGGTCTGCATAACGCCCCGGTGAAGCCCGAGGCGTCTGCGTAGGACTGCAACTTTTTCAGTCAGGGAATAGCGCAAGATTCTCTACGTCGGCCAACTTTTGCGTCGGTTCGAGGACAGTAGATGGCTCTGCAGGAGGGTTGCTTTGCTCGTCTGCAAAGGGCGTAGGATCCGCCCTGCTTATGTGCATAAAGGAATGCGTCTGTCGAGTCAGCATTGTGTTGATACACTCTCACATATTAAACTCACTGAGATTGGATCGGGATCGGCACTGTGGTCCCATCCAAGCTGTGCATTCTCTTCCCCATCCTCGTCCTCGTCCCTGACTGGCTCCCAGCCCTCGTCGTCGACAAACAGGCTCTCGGATCGTAATGTCGGCGGCGGCGGTTTCTGCGAGGGTCGGAGATCAAAGGCGGACATGCGCGAGACACTGGCTCTAATAGTGCCCACGGGTCGAGAAGCAGAGGGTGGCGGTACCCTGGCCGAAGCCTGCATTGGCGGCTGTGCCGTCTCTGGATGTGGCGCCGGGGCTTCAGATGCCGTGACGCTCGTCTTGCGAGATGTGGCCTCGAGTCGCGGCGCATTGTTTGCTGGAGCCGACTTGCGCCCCTTCTTCGTCTTTTGGGCAGGATTGCTTCCTCGTTCTCCGACGGTCATGATGAGGAATTCACATGACAATGCATCTCCGGCGTAGGAGAATTGAATCGGGCGAGCTGGGAGCGAGTAGCGGGCTGAGAGAGCAGATCCTCCAATGCCAGCATGCTGAATAATGGCGCGGAAATCTTTGACCGAGATGACAATATGGAGCTTGTCTTCGACTTCAATATCGTCGAATTCATCTGCTTCAACCGCAATCGAGGTCTGGAGTGGTTTTTTTAACACGGCTAGATTTCGTCAGTCGTAGGTTGACTAAATGAAAAAAAAAAACACGGTGTCGTACCATCTTCGCTCACAGTCTTTTCGCTGAAACATGTAAAATTGACACGGTCACCGTCAGTGTTGATGTCGAGATAGTCGATCCCCGGGCCAAAGTGGTCCATGAGCTGCCGTAGCGTGCGGGAGCTTATGGACCAGTGGTGCGGCGCGTCCGTCTTGCTGAACTTGGCGTGCACCGGGACGCCAGTCTCAAAAATCAGGCGGTGAGTAGACGTGAGGCCTGTTCGGAAGACGATGCGGGCAACGAATCGGCTCTTGACGCCCTGGCCGTCTTCAATGGTGACGTCGCAGCGGTCAATCAGAGTCTGCTTTTCCGCATCGCGATCCCTCTGGCTGTCGGCGGCCGCCGAGCGGCTGCGAAAGAGCGATATGAGTGACTGCAAGGTGAGTTTGTCTCACGTTAGACATGGCCGTTATGGAGATGATGGGTAGTTGCGCCAACTTGCCCGAATGTACATGTTGCAGTGGAAGCGCTCCTTGGCCGGGCCGGTGCCTTGGTAGTTGTAGCGTGAAAAGAAGCGATGGGTGGTGAATTTGAAGCTCGCATAGGCCGACTTGGAGTTGTTCAATGTGCTCAAAATGAACTAGTCAGCCACTGTTAGTAGGCCGTTTTGAAAGATGGGAAATTGGTCATGAGCAGGCTGACAGAATCCTTGCGCGCCTCGAGGGACACATCGTCGCTAAACTTGTTGAGGCAGATGAGGGCATCTCGGAAGCCAGAGACGCCCTCTTCGCTCAGAGTGAAGTTGAGCACCGCCATTGACTGTGTGAAAGTCGCCCGAGAATGCTGAAGTCCCGGAAACTCCCCAGCTTCTGGGCGATGATGGTCGATGTGAATGGCGAGCTGTTGGCGGGAGCAGAGTTTACCTAGGTCGGCGCGACAGTGGGTCGAGAAGGCCTACAGTGGATGACGGGGGCGTTTAGTGGTTACGGCGCTGGTTACGGCGCTTCAGCGCAGATGATGGCCTGCAACATTGAGATACGACCCGTGTTGGCAGAGCACTTCATAATCCATGCCGTAACCAATGATATAGGCGTTTGCGCATTGTAGAATCAATTGTAGATGGATGAAGTCGTTTCTGTCCGGCTCTTTAGGGATTGTTCGTTCATCAGCCTGGGTAGGTACAGTGGGGCGATGAGCGCCAGCTCGAGCCTCAATCTTTGACACGGGAAATTTAAGCATTTTTGTAAATACATTTCTTGAGTTAGTTCTGGAGTGAAACAGGATTGTTGGCAGGATTGGGTTATAAGTCAAAGAAATCGCTTAAAACGGAGTGGTGGCATTGTCTACTTTATGAGGCGGGTGGTTGGGACAGCAGCAACGAAAGAAGAGTACACCAGTCAACTATTATTGCCAATTTCTGATCCCTCATAGGGATTTTGCCCTACATTAAGCAATAGCATTGTTCATCTAGAATTGCCGGATCGAACCCTCTCGAGTTTCTACAAACGCCATACTGGCTGTCTGGCAATTTGAATCGATCAGATTGATGCCCTTGATAGCAGTCAATTGCTACACTTGATCTCTATTGAATATCATGTCAAGTCTTCTGTCAATCATTATCTGAATCATTGTGTAAAAAGATATCTCAGCAACCACGTCAAGTGTATGTGAAGTGATACAAGTGTTCATGCTCTGTATTGTTGCTACATAGTCAAGGTTTAGCGGCCCCTAACTAAACCTTCAAGCCCCTTGTCGGCAATCACCATCGATAACGGCAAGAACATTGGCATGGTAGTGATTATCGCTGAAATGCTGTGCGCCTAAAATTCGAAAAAAAAAAAAAAATTAGTAACAAAATCAATCGCAAGTGCAGTGACGACCGCCCGGATTCGTTCACCTCCATCCTCGCTCGCTCTTTCATCAATTCCGGAAGCAGCTCCAGCCGCAAAAGCTGAATCTGGTCGGGCCTCTCCTCACGCCATGCCTGTCGACAAAGAGGTTCGTGCCGAGATGCTTGCCGCCAAAGTACTTTGTAAAGAAAAAGGCCATTCTAGCAAGTTTCTTTTGGCAAAGAAAAATTAGCGACGGGGTCGAGGTTGGTCCAAGTGATGGGCGACGTACAGTTTGCGACGCGGCGCGCTCGTTGGCAGTTTTGAGATGTCCAAGTTTATGGTTAAGAGATAGCCCCCTGGATCAAAGAGGAAACGGCGTTGTATTTAAGGGCTCCCCGCACAATGCTTGTGCGCCAGGCCTACGCGACGGCTTTTTTCCTGCCAACTACGTAGTTTTAGCTCGTACGACTGACTGTAGTCTGTACAAGAGGCCTCCGCACGGACGCCTCACAGTAGGTAATTAAGCTTCCAAGTCACAGGAGGCGTTCTTTTTAGCTGGTTTCTTCTTGCTCAGGCTCTCACAAATCGGACAGATTCACCTCACACCCCGAATCGTGCCTTGGCAAGGCTCGCGCTTCAACGTGATCTGCTCGCCCTAGCGGGTAAGGCTCAGCTCTTCGCCTCTGGCTGGACAAGGCATAAATACCTTCTCCTGTGACAAATCACTCGTGTTCAAAGCAAGCTTGATCCTCAAGTATCTATTTGCCCGAAAAAAATAAAAGTTGTGACTATGCTATGCAAACGCTATAAATAATACATTTTCTTCCGCTTACTTGAGAGATTCTTCGACTTTTAGGGAGCCGGCGGTAGTCGGCTTTACCCAATACATGAAGCGAAAGTAATTGACAAAGGCCATGCCGGTATAAGTCACTGGCACATACTGCGCTCCCCTCCGAATCCACCAAATCGCCGTCCGAGCCGCCCAATCCGCTCCCACAATGGCCGAGCCCATGCGAGACTGGAACGCCGCAGGAACAATGTGTCGATACAGGATTTGCTCGTCGTCGTAGTATGCTCTCGCAAACGGCACAAAGGCCCGTTTCGACTCGGCGTACGCTTGCATGACCTTGTCGCCGGGTAGCGCGCCGTGCAGTTCCGCTTCGCTGCCCACGTACCAGACCTCGGGGATCAGCTCGGGCTTGGTCCGGTCCCTCGACTGCTTGAACAGCTCGATGATGGATACGGCCGAGGTGCAGTTCATGGCCAAGGCGGCGTTGTTGTCTTTTGTGCCGTGGCAGAGTACGAGAATATCAGTCTCGGCCAGTATCGGCGCAAGGCCCGAGTAGTCATTCCTGGACCAGTCAACGCCGTGTCGCAAAGGCGTGATTGACGCCACCTGCTCTTTTTGCAAGGCCTTTGTCAACTCTCTCCCGAGAGCACCACTTGATCCTGTCATGGCTACGCGGCGGCCCTTGAGGGTTGTGGCCGTACCAAATATCATGTCGACAAGACGCACCATGGATCCAAAGTAGTTTTGAGGATCAATGTGGTGCAGCACGTGGTACTCGGGACCGACAATCATGTTGTTTTTATCTTTCGGGAGGACTCGGTAGGGAATGTGGTTCGAGTCGTAGCCCATGTTCCACGCCACAATGGCCGTGCGGATGATTTGCACCAGCATGACGATGAGCAGGTCGTAGGCGGCCGTGGGGTAGAATCGACGCAGGAGCAGCCAGCTCGCCGAGCTGCCGACGGCTTGGCACGCAAACTCGAGGGGCATGTGCGAGACGAGGTTGGCATATCGAAAGTTGCGGTTGAATCGGAGCTGGCGGTTAAAGTACTGGTGGTGGGCCGAGTGCGTCCGGTTCAGCCAGCGGACAAACTTGTTGCGCGTCTTTTGGTGAGACTGCCAGTGGACAAGGTCGAAAAACACTGAGCCAACAATGTAGTGAATGATTGTAAAACTCGCAGTCACAACGACTCGGGTATAATCTGGCAAAGATGCGGATATCATGGTACAAGCAGCCGAGCATCAAATGAGTACTGGGGAGAAAGGGAAAGAATGAGTAGGTTAGGTGAAGCTATTCAGCCCCAGACAAGGAAGATAGAGTCGTCTTATAAGAAATTGGTGTACTTGACCATGTGTTGGTCCCTTTACGTGCTAAAAATAACGCCCGTCAACAAAGCGGCTTTGTGGTACTGCGCGGCCTGTAAGTGGTCAAAGACTCCAGTTCCAGGGCTGACGACCTAGCGTAGGATACGCAATCGTCGCTTTCGTCGCTTATGATCCCTTTTTTCAATCTACATTTCCTATCAAGACCAGTTTCGTCCATGAGTCGGCAAGTTCCATCTGGTACCTGGTGACGGCCCACAGCTCGGAACCAAAGCCCGCCAGCATCTAACAGTCCAGGGGAAGCGGCCGAAGAATAAGACCAGTAACTATGTAGGAAAGACATATTGTGGGTATTGACAAGCTGCAACAAACTATACGTTCTTTGGTTTATTGTGTTATGATATAGCTTCGAGTCTCTATTCTATTACACCCAAATGTTTGCTTGCGCCGTCCCTCCTCTTTTCCGTTGCGCAATCATGGCTTTTCATCTTCATCCAACAAAAAACCATTTGAATACTGTTACGCAAGATCTTCAATCCTCACATTCGTGCACCGCCCTGTCAAGACCTTTTTACTCGTGTCCACTTTGGCAGTCATGTCGAGTTCGCTAGTCCCTGAGTTGGCGGCCGGTAATAAGGCTGAGCGGACCCCTGCCCAGCAAGGCAGCCAACCAACTAGTTAGGATATGTGAGGGTCGTGGGGTTTCATAAATTAGACAGGGCTCAAGAAAGGGGGCAGTGCGTCCTGAGACTCGACGACAAATGCCAAGCAACCCATTTTTAGTCTTGTGGGCATTTATAAACAAGGGCTCTTGACAGGGTCGAATCCGAGCAAAGATACGACGGCCGCGTTGTCCAAGCTGGGGTATTTACACGCTAACTACATAGATGAGATGACGGAGATTAGATTGATTTCGGCCAAGACGTCTGGAAGCTCGGTGACTTGCGGCGCGCCATCTTCCGATTTTATCCCGACGACGCCGTTCCTGGATGCTTTTTTTTCTCCAAAAAGCGACAATATTCTCCTACATGTCGCTTCACATGACAAAATGCCGTCCTTTTTTTTCTTTTCTTTTTTTCTTTTTATTTCTTTGGACTGTCGCGCTTATGCTACGTCCGCCCTTCTGGATCTACTCTTGGCAACTCCCCACTAGCTAGTAAACGCGCTCTCCTGCTCGATTACTGCCACCAGCAGAAAAAGCACAAGCCCTTCCTTTGACATAGAAAAACTCTGAAGGCCCAAAGTGTCAAACCTTCTGGATAAAACTTTCTACAGAAGGAGATTTTTTTTTTTCTTCTTTTAAAAAAAAGGAGTTTACACCGAGTCCTATTAAGACGAACCGCGTAGGTTGCCTGTGGCCGAGCATTCTTTCTACAAAAGTCGCATGAAAACTATATCCTAAGCTATTAACTGATTTAAAGTCTCGAGATTGAATATTTACTTAATATAACCAATACATGAACTCTGAAAACGCAAAGGTCAACTTATAAAACGGGGTCCTGGCAGTAAGAAATCGTCGCAGCCACATAATGCAAACGCAGCCACTTAAAGGTAATTGCAGCCACAGACAGGGGAGAATTTCAAGCCACACAAGCTCAGTTAGACGAAAGTGCCCAAGCTTCTCGACGCACCGAGTATTGCAAGGTAGTACCTCGTAAAAGGGGACTCTATGCTGCAGCATCGTGAAGTATTGATAAAGTTTGCAAACAGACGCCTCTTTGTATCATTTTGTCGATGAGTTAAAACTCCGCCTAAAAGGTAAGAGGTCCTTTCTTCGTTGCAAAGCCATGTTTGGGGCATCGAGTCGGCTGCACGCGTATTTCGATGTGGCGCTACCCCTTCAATTCCACGAGGCCAAACTCGACGCCACACAACTCTCACGATGATTCCTTTCTAGTCCCATGTAGTTTCGCAATCAATATATAGCATTTTTTAAACCTTCATGGCTTATAAAAGAGAGTTCAGCTCAGATTGGGTAAAGTATGAGAGCAAACCTTTGATTAAATCAACTACTTAAGGCCGCTCTCTCCCAGAAGTCCTCGTCTTTTCCCTTCTAGAGCCTTTCTCAATTTCACATTGTCTACTGCTACTACCATTCGATCTAGATACTGTCCGCACCAAGATATCCGGCCTCTGTCCTACGCAAAACAATAAGCACCAGGTTCAATACTAAGCAAGCCAACACCACTGCTCTACGCTCAAGAATTCTGCATATAGCTTCATTCAAGAAGGGACAATGCCTTCAAGAGATGCAAAGACCGAACCTTGGAGTCCTTCTCATGAAGATATGGAGAGAAGCCTTGGTGATGTCGTCTTGCACCGTCCTCCTGGTAGTCCACCTCCCCCTTACTCGCCAGAGGACACCCCGCGTGCCGCTCTGAGCAATCCAGCGTGGACCCGACTTCATTCGGCGCCTCGTGAAAACTTCAAAAACAGTCCTCTCCTGCGTCTTCCAGATAGCCTTCTCACCAAAATCATGTCCTTCACCGACGTGGACAGCCTTCTCCGCCTGCGTCATACCTCGCGCACCTTTATGCGCCTCTTCTCCTCGTCTGAGAAATTCGCGGATCTGCGCTTTGCCAACTGCACTGGGGGAGCGCAAGCCAGGACAAATGTCTGGCGGACACCCAATTGCAAATATCCAGAGCAAAGAGAATCAACGTTGTGCTCTTCTTGCGAATACCGTCGCGGATACAATGAACAGACAATCGTCAACAACATGGCACAACTCTGGTGCTCGAGATGCCGCAGGCTGCACTCTGCGATGCACTTTTCTAGCCATGAACGTCAAAACAAACGAGACAGGGACAGAAGTTGCATCGGCTGGGCAGAACATGTCAAGCTGTGCTCTGACGTGTTTCTCGACTGGGACCTGGTTCTTGCCTTGGCCAGTTCCACCGGGGATGGATCCAATAGCCTTGTCTGCAATCAGCATGACGACAATGGCTGGAACTGCAGCCGCATAAAGTGTACCTTCGAGAATGGTGTGAGAGTGCTCGTCTGGACCAGGGAGGACGGCCGGTACGAGCTTGAATTCACATCCTCTAGCCATATCCCTTTTAACAGAGGCCCATCTGGCGAGAAACCCGGCTGGTATAGTGTCTTTAATGCCATTCATGAGGTCACGAACCCCAAAGACCCATACTGCTTCTTGGCTAGCCGTCGCTTCGAAGGCTGTGATCCGATGCGCATGTTTGACCCCAGCCTCTGCAGCTGCTTAGACTGGAATCTCCTGCCTAGCGATACTGACACAAGCACCCAAAACTGCTTCAAATGGCACCTGGGCGGGAATGTCTGCCGCCGCTGGCGCTGCAAAGCAGACTTTGGCGAGTACGCTGGCTCCGACTTCACCGAGTGCGATCCCGAAACTGACCGCTGCCACGGGTCTCGCCATGGGTTCGACGCAGACTTGGGCCCCGGCCGCCTAGTCAGCATCGACTTTGTCAACTGCCCAGACGACGGCAACATGTTGGTGCTGGTGCAGCGCACCCACTTGATCGTGGAGGGGCCCACGGATCCCAACTGGGTGCAGCTCATCTGCCCGCAGAGCATCCTTCAGACCAGAGACACGGATATGCTCGGCAAAACATGGTGCTACAGCAAGATCTGCGCCGTGAGCAAGAGGCCCGGCTGCATCACGCGGCGGTCACTGCTCGATCTGGAATGGCGACTTTCTCATCCAAACTGGGGGGCTGACTATTATGATGATGTTGATGAGGAGGAGGAGGAGGAGGAGGAGGAGGAGAATATGGGGGATTATGATGGGGACAGCAGTAACGAAGCCATTGACAGTGTCGAGGAGGAGGGCAGCGAGGCGAGGAACGGCTTTGACGGGGCGATTGACGATGATCGGGTGTTTGTCACTGCCGGAGAGGATGACACTGACGAGGAGAGGGCAAAGACAGCGCCTGTATTGAAGTCTGATCCTAATTTGTTTTCGGATCAACTGTTGGAATATCATCACTTGATTTTTTGACTTTATCTGTTGCTTTTCTAATTCCAACCTTCTTTGACCGCGTTTTCATCAACAGGGGTAGGGTTACTTTCAATTTCAATGAAAATCATTGAAATATTCATAATCTCTCCAAGACGCAGGGAGAAGGGGAATGACTGAGAAACTAGCCACTAATTAGCTATCTGCTAATTGACCGACTGTTGATGATTTGACTGTCTGCTAATTGACTGACTGTTGAGTAACTGGCTGTTGAGTAACTGGCTGTTAATCAACTGGCTGCTGATTGACTGGCTACTGATTGACTGGCTGCTGTCGACTGGCTGCTGTTGACTGGCCTCGTAATTGTAAAGTTCGGCTGCTTGTACCATAATATCCGCATCTTTGACGTAAACTGCCAGTCGTCATTTGGCACGAATGCTAGATCCACTAGCGTTATTAGCATATCGGATAGCCTCGACTCAGCTCAGACGGCACTTATCCGGCCCCATGGTAAGCAGAGGCGATGAGGAACGATACAAGGCTTTGCTCCAGGCCATGTGGCTGGCAATGAATGTCAAGATTCCATGTCACCCCCTCACACCAGAACCTTCCTTCACGACCTTCCCAAAAGGTACATGATGCGCCGCCTGCCAATCAGATTGAACAGGCATGGAACAATATTATCGCTTCATTTATACGTAGCCTAAATTCTGTTTATGAGATAATATCGCTTCGTAAAATGTAAAAATACTGTTCATGACATAGCATCGCTTCCTTCAATGCCAGCAAATTCACTATTATTGTACATGGCTGACCAACGCCGGCTAAATGAATAATGCCCGCTCCTACAGCAGCAGATTGGGGTCCCAGTCGTAGTAATCTATCGGCACCTCATCTCGCGGACAGCATGCCCCCGACATCGACGCCCAAGGCCCATCATTGTTCAGAGATGCCGAGTCCATGAGTGGTAGATCCAGGCCCCACGTGTATTCGAGGCCGTTCAAGGTTGTATAGTCGGGGATACCCATGCATCGGAGGCCGCTTGCATGGAGCTCTGCCATTTTTCTGTTGCGAATCTCGCGGACGCGCTCCTTCATCGTCTCAAACTGCGCCACATAATGCGGCTCAGCCCAGTAGCTGTCGTACTTCTTCATGATGGATGCGATGCTGATGATGACCTCTCTGTCGTCTGTGGCGACCCACGCCGAGAATAAGGCTGAGGGCATAAAGCCTGCCCCGGTAGGCAGCTGTTCGCTCGAGATACGTGTGATCCAAAGGGCTTCCCGGGAGTAGTATAGAGCTTCCTGCTGAAGCTTGATGTTGATGGGGTTCAGGGCTGATAGGAAGGCATTAATGACGAGCGTAAAGCTCAGCATCATGGTGTATGCTACGCCCATTTGTATCTGCGCTCTGACAAGAGCGATTTTCGCCTCGTTCGTTGCCTGGACCATGTTTGTAAGATCCATGAGCCGGCGCCGTACAAACGGGCACTCGGTTTGCATCCGCATGTATTCGCGGAACATTTGGTTGTAGTAGATCTCTGGCTGACGGACAAAATATGGAAAGCGCATCAGGCAAGGTAAGTCTAGGCTCTCGATCGGCTGGCCTTTTTCCTCGTCCAGTGACTGGTATGGCCCGAAACCCGTCTTGAGAACCTCGAGATATCGTCCATCAATGGAGATGTTTGGGTTTACAATAGCTTCGGTGCACTATTGTCATACATTAGCCATTCGTGAGAGCAACGTCGAAGGGGTAATGCTGGAGGCATACAGCAGGTATAATCAAGTGGTAGCGTAGTGACTGAGCAAAGGAATCGTCCCACGGCTCGTCAATGGTGGAGTTGAGTATGGAACAAATGCCCACCATGTGGCTCATGTAGCCTTCTGCCGACTTGCCTGCCCACATCTGCACAATATGTTAGCATTCGGAGTAGCAATGAAGTGGCGAGGATTGGCCCCCTTACCTGAGCAATCATGATCATGAAGACGGAACAGAGAGTATAAGGCGATCTTCTCTGCTTCGGGTCTCCGAGAGCTTTATTGAGGATAATGAGCGCCTTGCCGTATTTCGTCAGCGTCGTTGGAAATAGTTTTTTCCCGCTGCGCAGGTCATCAAACGCATCAAGAAAAGTTTCCGTGGCACTGTCCAAGAGCTCGCAGGATCCCACACGGGTGGGTATACTTGCGAACCAGGCTCCAAAGCATTTGAGGTCAAATTGGGGATCGTCGATTTGAAGGGCAGAGGCAAAGCGACCGGACAACCTGGTGATTTGGTTGTTGGGCGAAGCTCGGGGCGACAGCGACTTTGGCGAGTGTTTGGACCGGGGCGTCTTGACTGGGGCAAATCCGATGCATTGTTCCTTGAACTTATATCTCAGCTGTCCTTTACCAGTGCAGGCAATCTTGAGACGGGCGCATCTAGCACAACGAGGTGAAGCTTGATCACACTGGCCTTGTTAGTCGAAGGGCTTCTACTCAGCTGTATGGAACCGAGCCTACCTTTTTCTTTTGCTTGTGGCAGGCATCGCAGCCGCGAAAGGTAGGTACACCGGGCATAATGTAGAACGCTTCCTATGTCAAGTGGGCAAATAGATGGAGTATATGGCGACGAGTGTAGGATGATTGGGAAGAGGGTACTACATATATGGGCGTGCTACAGTGTGCCCTGCCGAGGTGTGCATCCGGGGCGAAGCGGAGGGAGGTTTGCTGGGTCAGGATCTGTTGCCCGATGGTGATTATGTGCAGTCCAAGAAGATGACGAAGGATAAGCGCGTCAAGACAAGGAGCCCCTCTTAGTCCGGGGAGATGGAGGCCGTGGCCCTGCGCGGCGTCGCGGCGGAGCCAACCAAACGTGCCGAATTGGCGCTGAACGTCTGGCGTGTGCGTCCAACAAGCGCGGAGGCTACTAGCGTGAGGGTGGGGATGTTGGGGAAGTTTTCGATGACTGGCTGAGAGAGCGGTGACGCCGTCGAGGAAGCTAGGGAAGATGATGGTGCTGGCGGGTGAGAAGTTGGCAAGACGAGGCGTGGATCCGTTTGAGAGATGAGGGCAAGTTGAATGGAATGGCGTGGTGAAGGGCGTTTTTGGCTTGTGTGGCGTGGACGAGCAAAAGGTCGATACCGAGTAGGTGTAAAGGAAGGGAGAGCCGTCGAAGATGATGGCCTGTGCAGGATTTTAAGGGCAAAGGCAGATGCAAGGAGAAGACTCAGTGCCGTACTGTAACTCTGCTTGTCTCCCAATCGCCTCTGTGTGGTAGCACTGCGTGGAGTGGGCCGCTGCAGTCGATGCCAGTAGGTAATTTCTGAGAACCTAAGCCGAGGGTGCGGATGCAGAGGCCAGAGGCTGTTCATCTTGATAGGCCCAGGCCCAAGACAAGCAGGCGAATCCAGAAGTACTTTACTTTGGATAGCCAAGTGCTAATTACTTGATTTTAGCTATTCACCCTAACTAGACCGCAACCAGCCAGCCTCGGGAATTTCCTATTACAAAGAACCGAGCAAGGCTGTCAGCTCAGCCAAACACCATACAATCGCCAACGTTGGCGAATCACAGCAGCCTTGGCCCCCGTAAATAGAGGCGCTGTGGATGTTTGTTTTGGCCCCCGAGCCCCCGAACCTGCCCTGAAAGCGGGCACTCTGCAAGCCCCCAAAGCCCTACGAGAATGTCGCAAAAAAAGCAAGGCCCAAGTTTCCAACGTCTCTCGCCGCTCCGGGCGGAGGCCAGGTCCGCCACGACACCAGGCATGTGCATGCGCCTCAACATTATTAGCGCTGCAACTGCACAGCGTCTGCTGATTTCTCCGTTGGATACCGACCACTGACACTCGTCCCTCAAACGGCCTGATGGGCGGCCATCTCGAACTGGTTGCTACCTTCTCGGAGGGGTGTGAGGCCTTTCCCCCAGAGTTGCGACTCTCCTCGCACTTCTCGCACCCTCCCCGCAGCTCCTTGTCAAGGGACCGTTGCCGTCCCTGCGTGGTACATTAAATGCAAGCACGTGGTTTCTCAAGCCTTCTTCCAATGTTGGCCCGGTAGATGTAAACCGTGTCCGCTTTGCGATGCGCTCAGTCTGCTACGCTGTCAACACATTCTTGGGATGTCAAGCGACAATGTTCATGGGCTGACGTGCCGGTGAACCTAACTGCTCCTTTCAACAAGTCGGGCGGCATGGTTCTTGTAGCGGCTCAGCCCGATTCTGACAAGGCTGTCGGCACTTTTGTGGGAGCCGCATGGCTGATCGGCATTCACATCTTAAATCCCGAATGTCAACAAGACAGCTCAAGACTCGCTCCAACGCTGGCTCACAACAATTTCACAACGCCGTAATTGTAGGAAAGCCTCACATAAATCAACTCGTCTCAGGCACTCCTCTGTATTCGGATCCTTGATCCAGTAGCTAAATGTGAAAGGACACATGTAGGATCCGATCATGCGCACTGAGCACTTACACAATTTCAGCAAAACATACATCTAATGTCGGTGGATAACATCCTATTCGTCATAGTTATCCGAATAACACAAATCTGAAAATGAAAAGCGAGAGCAATGGGGGCTATTGCTAACCCCGTAGACCTAGGCTCCAAACTCTGCTCTGATAGCCCATTGTTTCTTAGTATCCCAAACGCCGATAGCTGATGGCATAGCACTTCTTTCTCAGCCAGAAAAACTGCCAAACCAGCAGCACATATCATGAAAAGGCCGAACATGGCACAGGCTGTTACAGGCAAAAGCCACACAAAAATTCCAACCTAGAACCAAACACAAAAATCATGTCATAACGTATCAGGTGCTTCGTCGCAGACTGCATGTCCATCTTGAACAATGCTTGTACGAAGCACTCTGTTATAGCGCACCCGGTTTCCCTTTGCTACCATTGTCATGGTCAGACGATACAAGACAGCAGCTGGCGGACAGCGGGCAGCAAGTGAGAGGCCCGGACGGACGGGCTGCCGCATAAAGCTTGCAATCGATGTAAAATGTAGCCCTCAGCACCCGACCTGAAGTCTTTCACCCGCTCCTGCGTCGATGTCATGCATTGCCCGAGGTGTGCGGACCGTTGCCGTGGCCGGCGCTCTACATAACAGCCGAGGCTAGGAGCCGTGATTCGGGGTCGTCTATTCCAATGCTGTCCAGGCGCGCTCCCTCCAGTCCCTCGATGCTCAGGAGGCGATTCTCCACGGTCTGGAAGCGCGGCTCGTAGGTCGCAGCGCGGGACTCGATGCCCTCGAGGCGCTTCTCAATCGTGTCGAGGCGCGCCTCGATGCGCACGAAGCCCTGCGCAATGTCATGACTCAACCGGTCGATCTTGTTGGTGAATGACCGCAGCGACGTTGCCAACGGCGACACCTCGGCGCTCGGCGTGGTCGACGGAACGCGGGGCTCGTGGTTGTGTCGCGGCTCCTGCAGCGCGAACCGCCACTGGTTGCCAAGCTGCACCTCGCAGACGGCCTTTGCGCGGAACGGGCAGTCAATCTTGCGCGTCGACGGGTTGCGCTTCTTGGCCGTACTGCTGTACTTGACGCCGCCGCGGTCGCACACAAGATCATACCGCGTCGGTTTGCCCTCGCGGTAGTTGGACGCCCGCAGCTTGACGATGCCGTAGCCCTGGTCTTTGGCCACGCGTTGCACCGACGTCATCAAATCTTCAAACGACCGAAAGATGCCTTCCGGCGGCGGCAGAAGCGCCGGGGGAGGCGTGCCGGCATCGGGACTCGACATGGCGGGCCGCCGTAGTTCGTCGTTCGCGTTCTCAAGGGGGGGTATGAACGGATGGCCCAGCGGGTGACGTAGGTACGCGACAGTGCGAGGAAACGCGGGTCGGGGCCAATACAGGCAAACGAATGTCGGGGCGTAAGTACGGCGCGCAGGTAGGAAAAAGGAGAGCTGAAAGAAAGAAAAGGGCCTTTGGAATATGCTTCTCTCAAAGAAGCAGCGGCCAATTCGCGATGCAGGCGACGGTGAGCAGAGAACGGACTGCTAGGCTGTTGGTTTCGTTTGCTTGCGCCGTACAGTACGATGCAAGAGGCTGGAGTGTGAGGATTTTTCCAATCCGCACTGTCAGCGAGCCCATTAGGTTTGGTGTTGATCCGGTCCGGTACCTTTCAGCCAATCACAACACCACAAAGCGCGTAGTCGACTGGGATTTGTGCCTAGCGTGTAAAGCCGTCGTTTTCTCGCTCACTGTGCTTCGGTATTGAACTTCAGCTTTTATCCACAGTTGGCCATGGACATGAAAACACAACGGAAACTCGTCCTCGCGAACTGGTTTGATCTAGGATGACAGTTGTCGGTGCGCCCTTTCACGAAGATGTGTAATGTAGCCGCCAGAGGCCGCTTACTCTGGTACCACCAACACACCTACACGTGACATTCGTCTCAGATGTGGCTGACGCCTACAAACTTTACTTTTCAATAAATCACGGATTCAATCCCGTGTTTGATATAAATACACGACTTGAGCTCTCTGGAACTAGACAATCTGAGATCTGTAGAACCTAGGGCATCAAAACCGCATTGTTCAATTCTCTGGTGCACTACTGTTAACGGATACACGAAGCAAGGCCTGATTCACATCAAAGGCTGGATCCGCATTTTTGCAGCCACTACAGTGTTACTGGACCCCCACATCGCCCCTACCTTGTCTCCTTACTTGGCACTTCCGGCCATTCTCATTCAACGGCAAACGCGTTCGATATCGACTTCGCTGGACAGCAAACATAGTGAAAGATGAATGGTCAGCAGGTTCAGGGGAATGCTGGCGCTAGCGCCGACGTCTCGGCCGAGGAGGCTCGCCTCAGAGAGGCGATGAGACAGCTCAAGCTCCTCCACGTCAAGGTAAGCCGGTGCCGCGCTGCGCTGCGCAAGAAGGCGACCGCTAACCACGCTCATCAGTCTCGCCTTCTGAGAGGCACTATCCCGAAGATGCTGGATCCCCTTGTACAGAAGCAGCCGTCTCGTGAGTTGTCCAGTCCTCGCGTTTGCAAAGTCGTCTCTAACAATTCACCAGCCGATGTCATGTATGCCGCCTTTATGAGGGCTGTGAATGAGGCCCAGGGTAACGTCAAGGAATTCACCGAACTCATGCGCGATGAAAAGAGCAAAGAGGTATTCGCCATGGCCGAAAAGAGCAGCAATGAAAACCCTTTTGGCATCAAGGCCTGGCGCCACCAGGACCATCCCAACTGGTTCAACTTGGACAAAGACGACTAGTGGTTCGGAAATGTCTTTGAGTCGTGGGAGTAAGCATTCAGATGCAGGTCTACATGTTGTCGATACTTATCTTGGCCATCGTGCCATTTCATGTGGCGTTTAGGCGCGGCGAAAAGGAGGGGGGCGGAGTTCTTTTTCTTTCGCGAGTATACCATGGTGCACGCAGGCGTTTTTTGGATTTTATCTACCTGATGTTTTGAATAAATAAATACACGAAATTGAAATTATTGACGATGTTTGTCTACTGAAGTGTGGCCGGACATGGTCCCCGGTGAAAAATGCCTTTCCAAGCGAAAGAGGGGGGGTCCGTGTCATGTTCAAGCGGTGGAAATATCTCTGAATTTTGGCCAATCGTTACTTTCTCAATCCTTTCACTCTTTTGCTCGTGAGCATGATGCTCTCGGGGAACTGCTCAGTACATATTTATTCGCCGAGCAGTCTTGCAAGCTACTGATGGAACCAGTAAGTTGTCCCCACATCCGCCTGCGCAAAAGTTGGAGCCAGGCATCGCGACAAATCACGTGTATATATGGGCCTTTGCTGCTCGTCCCGCACCCTGATTCGCCGGCTTAGCGGGCACATTTTCAAGCACCACCCACACAAATTTTCCACCAAATCTCTAAATTCTTCGCTTCTGGTCTGTCCGTGATCCCTCAATTTGCAATCCAACCCAGCAAATACCGCCAAAATGGTCAACCACCGCGTCACCTACCGCCGCCGCACCCCGTGAGTGCTCTCCTCTTAGCATCGATTCGAATCATATACTTTGAATTGCCCGCTCGCGACCCCCGAACATTCGGCAAGCGGACATTGAAGACTAACCATGATGGCGCTGCAGCTACAACACCTCCTCCAACATCACCCGTGTCTCCAAGACTCCCGGTGGTAAGCTCCGCGTGCTTCACCTTAAGAAGCGCGGTACCGTCCCCAAGTGCGGCGACTGCGGCTCCAAGCTCTCTGGCGTAAGTCAATCCGACGACGACGACAACGACTCGACTGGCATTCCAAAGCGACTCGAAAATGGGAGGACGAGGGCGATACGAGATTGGTTCCCCTACTTTTCGTGGAGGTTATTCGCACGAATTGCTGCCGAATTACAGTTTGCGGGGGATATGAGACTGCCGAAACCTCTACACGACGACGAAGCTTTGCGAATGCCACTCGCGTCGACGTATCATAGCCTCCAACGACACCAACTAATTTCTTCTCACAGATTCCCGCTCTTCGTCCCCGCGAGTACGCCAACATTTCCAAGCCCCAGAAGACCGTCCAGCGCGCCTACGGTGGTTCGCGATGCGGTAACTGCGTCCGCGACCGCATTGTCCGCGCTTTCCTCATCGAGGAGCAGAAGATCGTCAAGAAGGTCCTGAAGGAGCAGGAGCAGGGCAAGAAGAAATAAATGGAATTAATCGCAATTTTTAAACTTCGACAAAATTTATTCCTTGTTTCTTTTTGGCGAAACGAAGGGTTGTGAAATGGGTTCATTGCTTTGGTGTTCATTAGGACAAAAAGGGACTGCATGATACATATGGACCAGGCTGCTGCAAAAGATGACGGCTGGTCTACTGCTGTCTTAAGGACTGCGAAACCTAACTTGATGATCTGAAATGAAATGAGAATCAAGCACATGTTCAATATTGGGTCCGCCCGTGATAAGGGGTCACTGTAAACTCCCAGTCGCTTCATAGTACACTTACACAATAAATGCGTTGGAGTATCCGTATGCACGTCAGATACGGTCATCCATTCATAGCCCCACATGCAAGCGCAGACAGCGACAGCTCCTGCAGAGATATCCTAATCAGAAGCTCGATAGAGTACCCTCACACAACATTACCGAGCTACGTCGCAATGCGCACATTCACGCGCCGCTTACCAGGGATTTTGCCTTTGCCCAGAGCATCGATCGCGCCCTGCGTCAAGACGCTCTCCCGACCACTCGCTGCCTCGCCCCCCCGAACGACGACGATGGCGATGCGATGCCAGCAGCAGCTCTTTGCCGCGCGATCCCTACACACGACATCGTTCCTGAGCAAGCAGAAAAAGGCACAGGAACATACACCGACGAACTTTCAGGACCTCGACGTACTCGGCAATACGCCGGTGCCGTCGACGTCGGTCGATGTCTGCATGTACGACGGGTTTGGCCTCAACAGCGGCATCACAATCACCGACGGCGACGGCGCGCTGCTGGTTGACGGCGAAGCTTTCACGTGGCGTCCGTGGGAGATCTCGGGCGAGATGCGCCTGCTCAACGACAAGGGACAGTTTGACGTGCCGGCGGAGACGTTGGGTGTATTTGACATGTTGTGGCCTCGGCCAGGTAAGGCGGGCAATTTCTGGTGGAGCTGCTGTCGCAGACTTCTGCCTGCTGGCAGTTGACGACATAGTTTTGCTAACTCATCGCCACGTGTAGATTTACTCATTGTTGGCACTGGAAAAAGCATAGCGCCGCTGAGTCCGGAGTTGAGGAAACACATCTCGTCTCTTGGTATGCGTCTGGAAGTTTTGGATACGAGAAATGCGGCGTCACAGTTTAATCTACTTGCTACGGAACGGGGCGTAGCAGACGTGGCAGCTGCGTTGATACCAATCGGGTGGCAGGAGGGCATCGGCGCTGCCGAGTAAAGTTGTGATTCATGTATAACTAACATTGTATTACCATTATTGTACACTGTAATGAGACTGTCCACAAATTCACTTTAATCGATCCCCGTTATGCATGAGCTTGGGCTGCAGATTGGGCTAAGATTACGCAAGGCAAGCCGGGGTATTGTAGAGCTGTATTACGCATATTTCTTTGCAACCATGCGGCCTTGCAGCCTCGACTGATGTGCCTACTACTCATAATTTCAAGCCACAACAGAAACGCGTTCTTTTACATCCGAATCTGCAAGCAAACGCAAACGAGCCTGGGCGAGCAAAATTTGCAGTTTTTCAGGGTAGCGCGCCGCATTTGGGAAAACAAACCAAAGCTCCACCACGATCAAAAGGTTCGCTCATCACCAAACGGTCCGTACCACGGTCCACGACCCGCGGCTAAGCAAGAAGCAGTTGCATCTTGCATACTAACGGCATCGGCAGCTGCGCCCCCGACTTTGTCGCACGTCTGAGCCATTTTACTACGTCGCCGACAGAGGGCTCCCAAACGATCAAGGCCTTCTTCACCTTCCTACGTATCCTTCGGTCGCGACAGATTATTTTCGTCCTCCTGCCCATCACTTATGCGCACCAGCTTGGCTTTCGACAGGATATGAAATTACTGGCACTCTTTTCGATGCCCCCGACCGCCTGAGTTGCCGCAGTCTTCCTACCAGAAGAGCGCATGGAACGGCGCAAGACTATTTACCGTTGAAGACGCTGAGGATCAGAGAGGGCTCCACTCTCGTTATTGAGTCATCTCTGCAGCTGTCGCGATATTGCACACCATAGCCAACAGCCTCGCAAGGAGGGCTTATCTTGATCAAAGATGTCGCAGATTTACAAACGGCTGTTTGGACTGCCGACCGTCCCAGTGGATGCCCATGAAACGGACCCTACGTTGCTCAAGGAGCACTCGACACTTAAGACGTACACCACCAGTCGTTTCGAGTACAAGGACATTCGCGTCTTTTTCCGCCAACATGCCAAAGCGGCCCAGCTACCGAAGAATCCAGCGCCGCTGCCTTTGCTGGTGTGCATTCCCGGCCTGGGCGGCTCCGTTGCGCAGTTTCACCCCCTGCTGAGCAGCCTCGTGGACATGGCACCGTGCCTGGCGATTGACCATCCGGGTGGAGGACGGTCTGCGTATTCGCAGAAACGCTGGGATGCGTACACGATGGAGGCACTCGTCGAGCTTCTGGAAACCATCATTGAGGACCATCGTGACAAGGATGCCGGGCAAAAGGTAGTCCTGATTGGCCACAGCATGGGAACTGGTCTCTCGGCCCTGCTGGCAAGCAAGCAGAGGACGCACACAACGGATCTCGTAAACCATATTGTTGGCTTTATTGCCATTTGTCCCTCCGCCGGCCCTCTGGGCGAAACTACGTCGCGATGGGTCCGCAGACTGCTTTGGGTACCAGGCTGGGTCTTTTCCTTGTGGCGACTCTGGGATGGAAGGGGTGGTCCAAACAGCCTGTCCATTGCGCGGTTCGCAGGCGCCAATGCATCTCCTGAGTTGCGGCTACTTCAGTACCGATTCAATCAACAGAGCCGAACACCCGTCTTCCGGCGCATGCTAGGCGCCGCTGTACCGCCGTACAAGGACGGCAAACCAGTGGGCGGCATGCCTACGACGGATATTTGGAGCGAGCTCGACATCCCGCTCTACCTTATTGGCGGCGAGGCTGACCATGTAACTCCAACAACGAACGTGGACAAGATTGTCAATGCAATCAAGACGAGACAGGCTGCGCAAGATGG